TGCCTTGACCCCGCACGGGGCCGGCCCTGGTTCCCATGAGGTCTTACTGGGCCCCTACAGCAGCAGTGTGAGGTGGTTACAGGATCCTCCTACCACAGAAGGGGACATTGCAGTTTGGGGAATTTGGGGGCGACTTAGTCCAAGTCCCTGGCACGCGGTGGTGGCAACATTGGAGCCAGCTGTCTGGCTTCAGGCCAGCCTCCTCCCCCGTCTGGGTGTCACCTGCCCCGGTGTGAAATGGGACGCTGGCCTCAATTCACGCCGGAGGAGGCTTCCCAGGAACCTTGCACCTTGTGAAAATGCAGATGACTTTCAGGCAGGCGGGGTGGGGCCTGCGCCCGCCCTGGAGCCCCCCCAGCTCCCAGGGGAGGGCGGTGCTGCCGCTGCGGCCCTGACCGCACTCCGGGACCCGCCCAACTCCCAGCTTCTGAGTCTCTGGGCCTGGGGTGACGCGCCCCAAAGGCCAGGAAAGTGCAGGAAGCAGGCTGTCTGAATGAAGCTCTTTGTGGGCACCTCGTGCCTGGACAGGCCTGGCCGCCGTCTCCGGAGCGCCTGTCCCCGAGCCTTCTGCATTTCCACTCTGTTGGCCTTGGCCGGACTCCTCCGGAGGGTCATGGCTTGGTCCTGGGCCCGGGGTGGGGGTGGCTCATCCCTGCCTCCTGGGGGCACCTCCGCGGTGGCCACACTGCCAGTCCTGCAGGGCTGATCACACGTGTGCCCCGCCTGTGTGCATGCAAGGGCACACTTCTCTCCCTCCCGTGGCGCGAGAAGTGGCCCAGAGGTTTGCCCTGGCCTCTGAGTTGAGACGAGACACGTCACTTGTGGGCGAAACTCCTCACCTGCCATGGAGAGTGCCACCCACCCGTCGCGTGCCCTGACGATGTGTCATGTCCTGATGCAGGAGCCAGGATGTGGACCCTGCTGGCCCTGCGTCGGCCTGTGAGCTGGGCGCCTCCCTGCGCCACTTGCAAGGGTCTGCGCGCCTGGATCGGCCGGCGGCCGGCCCTGTCCGCTGCCTCGGACTTGTGGGCTGAGTGGGTGGCCCGTGCCGGGTCCAGCCCGTGGGGTTTGGGGAGTTCGTGAGTGGGGCACATCCCAGCCTGTCCGGACACGCACACACACCAGCATCAGCGGTGACGTGGGGGTTCCACCTGAGGCAGCTGCGTCCAGTACCCGGGGGGCGGGTTTCTGCAAAGTCAAGGTCCCAGCTGGTGAAAGATTCACCCTAGGATCCCCTCTGGTTGAACAGGGCTGCCCGAGGATGGGAATGCCACCCCCCCTTGGCCGGTCCCCACGGAGAAGAGAACCGTGTCCCGGTGCAGAGCCCGGGGCTGGGCCCACAGCACTCACCTCACACCCCTGTCCAGTTTGCACGGCCGCACCGGCAGGTTGGTTGAGGCCCTGAGGTTCCTGGGCATCAATCAGCCAGTCCTCTGGTGTCCCTGCCCCTTAGCCCAGTGCGGGGACAAGGGTCATGCCGGGGGGTCCCCTGGGCTCCTACACCTCGGGTGCCCAGATGCCAGCACGCCCTGGGAAAGGGAAATTCTGCAGGCCCCGACCTGAACCCCGCGCCCACAAGTCCAGTCTCTGCCAGACCCGAGCTGGGATCAAATGCCATCCCGCCCGGGCTCATCAACAGGGGCAGGGGGCACCCTCCAGACCAAAGGGGTCCCTGGGAATCGGGAGCGTAATTGGGCTGGAAGGCGATGAAAGGGCTGAGCGTGGGCGGGGATTTCCACCGAGAGAGAGTGAGAGCGAGGGAGAGAGCGTGCCCGGCCCAGGAGCAAGCCGGGGCGGGTCGGCCGGGCGCTGCCCCCTCCAGCTCTGTTGCAAGGGAGCCCATAAAGCCAGGTCCTCGGAGACCTGAAACCTTGATCTGTCTCTGCTTCTTGTTTCCCACCCCCCGACCCCTCACTGCAGCCCTGGGACAGGAGGCCCCACATCAAAGGGGCGGGGTGGCTCAGGGGAAGCCCGGGGCAGGTCAGCTGGGGGGCAGGTGGGGCGGGATACAGCCCCAGTTCTGTTCAGTCTGCATGAGCAGGAGCCCCCCGGCCCGATGAATCGGACTGTCAGGCTGAGGACGGAGGAGCGACATCCTTCTGGCCTTACCTGAAGTGGGGGCCATGGACGAGGACAGTCCCTCGCCCCCGTGAACCAGCCGGCATTCTCACAAACCTCACACAGGCCAGACAGCTTCGCGTGAAGGAGAAGGGCGCTGAGGTCAGGGGGGCGGTCACAGAGCTGTGGTGGCACCGCCGTGTCCTGCTCAGGGCCCCTCCTCTGCAGCAGGTCCCCACACCCCAAGTACAGCGGGGAGTCTACGCCCCAGGCCCAGGCTCTGCCAGGCTCTGCAGACCCGGGGAGCTCCGGCTATGCGGCTCTAACAGGCCCCCGCAGCGTAAGGGTGAGGCTGGACCGAGGAGCCCGGGGTTAGACTCTCGGCACCCAGAGTGTGTGCCCCGTTCTAGCGACCGGGGTGTCACGTGGAAGCTTCTGGAAGTGCGGAATCTGAGGCCCCATCGCAGAGCCACCGGGGGAGAACCTGCACTTTCAGTCGGAGAGCCCCTCCCTGCCGGGGGTCAGCGCCGGGCGGCCTGGGCGGCAGACAGAGGGCAGAGGTGAGGAAGGAGGGTGGGTGGCTGCTAATCGGAGCCTGTGACGGGCCTTCCAGGGAGCTGCGTGGCGTTCCCTGGCCCTCGGGGCGCCCCCATTCCCGATGTCCTTCCGCCCTGTCCCGGGAGGCCCCAGAGGGGACTCGGACTCCGTCCCCACACCGGGGATGGCCTGGACCTGGCGGGAACAGCTCCAGCACGAGCCTCCCAGACCCACGGTGCAGCCCCACCTGGTCCAGCTGGGTGCGGACAGACCCAGGGGTACAGGTCCGCTTTCCTGCAGGGTGGGCAGAGGGTGGGCTCCGGGCGGCAGCTGGGGGACCTCCAGTGTGGAGGCAGCGAGTCAGTGAGAACCGAGTGTCCCTGGGGCCCAGCACTGCCCCAGCCAGTGCCCCCCGCAAAGGCTGAGTCAGAGGTCCCCTCCCGGGGTGGGGGAGGGGCGCCCCACAGGGAGGGAGCAGCAGCCCCTGCACCCTGCGCCCCCAGCCCCCAAAGGCCTCCGACCCTTCTGATGGCCCAAGCCATCCACCTCCCCCAGACGAGACTGCCGGGCAAGACGCCGGTTCTGGGGCAAGATTCAGAGTGGGCCACATGCCCTTGTCCCAGGGGGTCGTGGGACCCGAGGACAGGACTCCCAGGCTCCAAGGACCCCCGAAGGCCGCTGGGGACACGGGCTGTGGACACCTACTGGGACGTGGTGTGGTGTCGTCTACAGAGCCGGGGCCCAGCTTTGCCTTGGGCAGAGCGGTGTGACCTGATCTAGGGTGCCTGACCTCTCTGAACCTTGTTTTTCTGCTCAGGAAGACCATACCCGCCGTGAGAACTGAACACCTGTGGGAGGTGTTTGCGAACCAACCTGCAGCTGGACAGTGTCAGGCGTCCCGTCCCGGTGCCAGGACAGCAGCAAGGAGCAGAGAAGACAAAACTGTGCCCACCGAGGGCGAGAGGACTCCCACGGAGGGGTGGGAGGGGCGGCTGGAGAGAGGAGCCACGGGAGGGCACCGCTGGCGGAGGACCGAGACCTTGGAGGCCCCCACGTCAGGGCGGGGGGGCACCCTGAGCCCCCTTCATTGCCCCTCTGGGCCTCAGGGGATGCGTTCCGGCTCCCTCCCTTCTCACGGCGCTGCCCCTCTCTCTCCCGGAGGGGGCTGGGGAGCTCACGGTCCCTTGTGTGGATGGGACCCTGGCAGCCCCCCGCCCACCGCCTCCTGGGGTGGGTGCCACAGGGCAGGGCACCCCTTGTACCCGGGACCCTCCTCTGGCCGTTAGGCTCTGCCTCATGGGGTGGAACCCTGGGTGTGGGGACAGGGAGATCTTATTAGTGTCATTACTGCATATCATTGTTTCCATAATCATCTGCGATTAACACGTCAGTGACTAGGCCCTTGAGACATGGGAGGGCAAGACGGGGCAGAGCCGTGCCTCCCAGGGCCTGGCCTCACCCCGAGCCCCCTCCCCCTGTACGGCCAGGACCGTGGGGGAGGGAGGCCCACGTCTGTTGAGACTGTGGGAGTCGCTGGGCTAGGTCCGTCCCCGGACTTCCACAACAGCGATCTCACCTCCGCATCCGGAGATAAGAATACATTCATCCTCCCAGTGGCAGAGGAGGAAACTGGAGGGTAGCAAGGCTGCCCAAGGTGGGCAGGCCCAGCGGGGGGTCTGTACCCAGCTCTGCCCAGCTCCAGGCCTGACACACTGCCCTGCAGCAGTGACGGGAGCGAGGCCCCCTAGTGCTCAGCGTGTGTGTGTGTGGGGGTGTCCTTTCTCTTAGGAGGGGGGCCCTCCCAGCAGGTGTGAAGGACAGGAGGCAAGCAGGCCACCGGGGTCCCTCCTCCACCAAGCAGAGGCTGAGCGGCCTCGAGGGGCCTCCCCCAGGTTCACCCTGGCTTCTCTCTGTGGGGCTCCCCCTCTCCCGGACAGGGTGAGAGGGGGGGTAGATCCTCCCAGCAGGGACAGCTGTGGGGCCCCCAGGGCCCCTCACAGAGAACTCTGCCCCTGGGGGGAGGGATCCAGGAGACTGCATTCCCCGACCTTCCCCCACCCCACCCCCACCCCAGGATCTTCCTCAAGTGTCTGACTGCGCAATGCCGAGGGGGGCGGGCCACGCTGGGAAGGGGGGCAGCGGTCTAAAAGCACCAGCGGCTGCCTGGCGCCCACCATGCAGGTGCCAGAGGGTGGGTGCAAGCCTGCTCCTCCTCCCCACTGTCTCCCCTGCAGCTGGGGCCTCTGGAGCAGTGGGGCCAAGAATCAGCAGATGGGGGTCCAGAGGCTGGGGCTGTTGTGTAAGCGGCCCCTTCCCCGTACCAGCCCTCCCACCGGCCCCTAGGGCCTTCGGGGCGTGACGGAGCCCCGGGCCGGCCCCGCCCCCGAGGCGCTGCCCGGGCGGGCGCGCGCGGTGCGGAGGGAGGGCCAGCGAGGCAGGAATGCGCGGCGCAGGAGGCAGCGGCCGGACAAGTAAGGGCAAGTCCCCGGAGCTGCCGCCCAGCGCGCAGACGGAACCCAGGCGAGCCAGCGAACAGGCAGGGCCGCGAGCAAGGCTGGGCACACGGGGCAAAGGCGGCAGGCCGCTGCGGCCGAAGCGGGCGCGGGGTGACCAGGCGGACGCCGGGGCGCGCGCACCAGCGGTCGGGGGCACGGGTAGGCAGAGCGCACCGCGCGCGCGCGGCCCGCAGCGGCGGCGTCCCCGGGCCCGGGCCCCGGCCCCATGACGGCGGCGGCGGCGGTGCTGAAGGAGGGCGTGCTGGAGAAGCGCAGCGGCGGTCTGCTGCAGCAGTGGAAGCGGAAACGTTGCGTGCTCACCGAACACGGGCTGCAGCTCTTCGAGGTGAAGGGCACGGGCGGCCGGCCCAAGGAGCTCAGCTTCGCGCGCATCAAGGCCGTGGAGTGCGTGGAGAGCACGGGGCGCCACATCTACTTCACGCTGGTGACCGAGGGTGGCGGCGAGATCGACTTCCGCTGCCCCCTCGAAGACCCCGGCTGGAATGCTCAGATCACCCTGGGCCTGGTGAAGTTCAAGAACCAGCAAGCCATCCAGACAGTGCGGGCCCGGCAGAGCCTGGGGGCCGGCACCCTCGTGTCCTGAAGGGCCAGGCGCATCACCTCACCTCCCTACTCCCCACCCAGGCGGCGACCGGGGGCTCGTCCGGTAAGCCTTCTGGGGCCTGGCACCCTTGCCTCCCTCTTCCTCTTTCCGGGGCAGAGAGAAGGGGACTCCTGCCGGCGTCACGCTTCAAAGCCGGACTGTCCTGCGACCCCCAGACGGCAGGAGCCCAGCCGGGTGGGCCCCTGGCAGGGCCCTGCACTCCCTGAGAGGAAGGCGGGCCGGTGGGGGAGGGGGGCCTTGCTCTGACTCAGGCGGAGGGGGCTGGCCTGCCCGGCCCCGGAGATGTTGGGTCTCTGCCGCTGCCTGGGGCCCTAATGCTTGGGCAGTGCCTCCCCGGAGCTGGGAGAGCCCAGGGTGGGGGGCACCGGAGCTTGCCCCTAGGACGGGTGCTCCCCACAGGAGTGTCTGAGCATGGAACTGAGGCAGAAAGGGGGCCTCCCTCTGCTGGCGGGGTCCTCGGGGGCCATGGAAAGACCGCGGAGCCCCCCCGGCCGGGAGGGGCCTCAGCAGCAGGGCCGGCGTGCTGGCCGGGGCTCCACCGCCCTTTGCTGACAGTGGACTTTGGGTTCTGGGGCTCAGCTGGGGGGGCAGGGCCCTGGGGCGGGGCGGGGGGACGGAGGCAGGAAGGGGGTCCTGGTTCGGGAGTTGCCCAGTGGGCAGGGGGCGGGGGCGGGCTTGCGGTCAGGAAGGCCCAGGGGAGGGGCCCGGAATAGAACGTGGCCGGCCTGGCTCCTGACCCCGTGCCCTCTGCCCCAGATGCCACTCCTCCCTGGGGACCGGGCGGGGGTGGGGGGGCGGGAACTGCGTGTCCCGCTCCGGCTTCAGTTTCCCTCCGAGAACCCGAGTCCCCTGGGCTCTCACCCCCCAGTCCCCGCCTCCCTGCCCTGCAGCCCCGCCAGCCACTTTGACCGGAGGGGCCTGGCGAACCAGGGGCCCTGTAGGCCGCAACCCCCCTGACCCACCCGTAGATGTCCCCTCCCTGGGCGTGGCGGTCAGCCGAGACTGGACCCCGCTGAGCCCTCAGGCCTCCCCATCGACCCTGTGCGACGACGAACATTATGTTCCGTGTCGGCCCCGGGGCGGGAGAGCCGGACAGCTGGCACACCGCGGCCCACAGCGGACTCTCTCTCTCTCTCGGCAGCGTCCCGGCCCGCCGCGGCCCTCGGGGGCTGACCCGGCTCCGACCGGGCTCCACCTGGTGAGGCAGCGTCACCGTCTCTCGCAGGAGGCTTTGGAGCCGAAGACCCGGACACCCCGGGGCAGCAGGGCGGAAGGCCCCTCGGGGCTGAGGATGAAGATTCGGCCCCTGGACCCTCTCTGCCTCGGAAGACGTCCCCGGCTAAGGGCCTCCCAGCCACAGGCCTGACTGATGGACCCCACGGAGACCCGGGAGGAAGCCCCCGGCCCCGGGGCCCTGCTCCGCGCCCTGCAGACTGCTGCTGCCCCCCCGCCCGCTGCCGCACTGGAGCCTCAGGACACAGGGGCCGCTTGGGACCGAGTGGGGCGGGGGACACTGACGGGCCTGAGGCCCGCCCCGGGGGTCTCCTGCTGCTGAGGTCCCTCTGGGACCCCCGCCCCTCCGGGCCCTCTCTTTGCACACTCCCCCCCTCACCCTTCTGCCCCCACTGGGGGGCTAGGCCTGGAGGTGGCCGGGTGGGGTGGGGGCTCGGCCGCTACCATTTCACGCCTCTCCCCCAATGAAGACGCCCGCGGGGGCGGGGGCCGCACTGCCTGCTTGCTGCTCAGACTGGAGTTCTTCCGCCTCGCCGACCCCACGCGCCGCGCGCCCCAACGGGATGCGAACCCCGTCCTGAAACCCCCGGCCTGGGTCGGGGCGGGCAGCGTGACCCCGGGAGACACGGCCTCGGAGGTCCTAGGGAGGGGCGACCACGGGGCCTGGACTGGCGGATGTTTCACAGGCTCCGCCGCCGCCGCTGCCTCTCCCGGAGCAGGGTGGCCGCCCCTGCGGCCCCGGGCAGCGGCCCGGCCTCTGGGCAGAGCGCTCCCCCGGGTGTGCAGACCCAGGCCTGAGACCCTCACACAGCGGCTGCACCTCTGGGTGGCCCCCAAAGAGAGCCTTTGCTCTTGCATTCCAACCACACACACTCATTGGGGATTCGGGCCCCAAGTAGGTCCCCGGGCCCTCTGGAAGAGGGGAGTGTCGGTGGGCAGGCCGGGTCCAGGTGCTCGGCCAGCACACGCACTGCCTCGTGGGCAGGCCCCGGGCGGAGCCCTGCCCTGCGGAGCCACGTTCAGTGGGGACCTGAAGTGCCAGTAGGTGTCATAGGGCCGGCCATGGGCAGCCAGGGAGCGCCGGGCCCAGCCAGTGCCCTGCCCGTGCCGGCCTCAGCCGCTCTCTGAGGGGGCCTTCTGAAAGCCGGCGGTGCAGGGCGGCGGAGGGCTCGGCCCACCGGGTGTCAGGGGCCCGCACAGCAGAGCGGAGGCAGCCTGGGGTTCCGGGGCTCCCTGCCTCCTGAGGAGGACACCCAGCCCTGTTGGCCCTGAGCGTGCGCTGGCTCCTTCCGAACCAGCTTCAGTCTCTCCCCGAGCCCAGGGGGTCCCAGCCCTGGGGGGGGCGCAGAGGGGGGGGTGTACTGCTCTTGGGTCCCTCGACAGCGGCGGCGGCTGTGATGGGGACGGTTGGTTAGCATTTGTAAGAGTCCGTGGCTTCCCGAGACCTGTGGGCACGGAGACGGGGCTCCCAGGCCACGCGTGTGCTCCCTGTGGGGAGCATGTGCTGCCGTGCCAGGGACGGGCACGGCCTGCTTCCTGGGTTCCGGGGTGCCCCCCGCCCCCGTTCTGGCAACTCCGAACTCTGGAGGAGGAGCGTCGGCCTCAGGAACGCTGGGCCGGACCGCAGGGCGAGGTCAAGGCCTCGGCAAGGGCACAGACAGGCCCAGCGGTGCCGGCGGCCGAGCGCGAGATGGAAAACTTTGCTCAGTCGGGCCTGCAGACGCCGGGCGGCCAGGGCGGGGCCGTGGCCACCGTCTCTGCCCCGGCCCGGGCAGCCCTGCCGCCTCTCCCCTGCCCGCCGCCGCGGCTGCGTGAGTCATCCGCGGACAAAGAGACGGCGAGTCCCAGCCGGCCCCCGGGGAGTCTGAGGGGCTGGGGGTGGGGAGCCCCGCGGGTGGAGGGCAGCTTCAGCTGGCCAGGGCAAGTGCGGTGGGGGGTGGGGTGGGGGGCGGGGGCTTCCCCAGGGGTCCGTGGCTCCAACAGCAGCAGCAGAGAGGAGGGCAGGCCTGCGGGGTGCGGGGGTGCGGAACCCTGAAACCGGCCTTCTCCCGAAGAGGGGGTGCGTGGGCAACAAGAGCAGTGGCCCCGCCAGGGGCGTCTGAGGGGGGCCCCTCCATGTGATCTCTATGCACACATGTGTGATGTGACGTGTAATTTCTGTGCATGCATGGGGTCGTCCACGTGTATTCCATTCCATCCCCACCCCTTACCTGTCAGCACGTCGTGTTAGGAAGCCACACCCCCAGGTGGGCTGCTCTTCCGCTGCAGTCACTGTTATTTATTGACCAGCCACCTGCGTGGCTGGGCAGTGTCCTCGCCATTTTTCACTGTTGCACATACATTTGCCTCCTGAAATCTCCATTTCCGTCTCTGGCTGCTACTTTTTTTTTTTTTAGGTTGTATTTCTTTACTTTTAGAGAGAGGAGAAGGGAGGGAGAAAGAGAGGGAGAGAAACATCCATGTGTAGTTGCCTCTCAAGCGCCCCCTACTGGGGAACCTGGCCTGCAACCCAGGCAGATGCCCTGACTGGGAATCGAACCCGCGACCTTTCCGTCTGCAGGCCGGCACTCAGTCCACTGAGCCACACCAGCCAGGGCGATCCGGCTGCTTCTCTAAGGGAATTCTCAAAGTGGGAGGGGCCCCTCGGGGCCCTTTGCAGTGGGCATTGGCCGCAGAGTCAGGAGACCTGGGGGCAGGGGAACCGTGGGGGGCAGCAAGGGCCTGAGCGTGGTGGGGCCGCAAAGGGGGGGCCATGCCCGTGTGTCGCACGTGGGGCTCCAGTCGCAGGCCAGAGCGGGGGGGCCCCCGGCTGTGCCTCCGATGAGCTGTGCGCCCCAGCAGGGCACCCGTTGCCCCACGGACGCGGGATGGCGGCGGCCGGCTCCCTGGAGTGGCTGCTGCGAGAGGTGGCGTGCTGGGCACGGGAGGTGAGGGCCTGGACGGCGGACAGATGTAACCGTCGGCTCCTGTGGCGGCACGCGAGTCCGGCCACCCGGCTCTGCCCCGTCCCCGTGCAGAAAGCCCCCTGCAGTTCGGCTGGAACGGGAGGCCCACCAGGGCTGTGTCCCAGTGTGGGGCCGCGGCCGGGGAGACCCCCATCCCCGGGGCCCAGAGACGGGAGGGTGGGCGGAGCCCGCCAGGCCCCCTCCAGGAACCGGTTCCTCGCTTCCCCTCCCAGCAGGGACCCCCTTCCCTTCTCTCCACCGTTACCTCCAGGGCCGGCCGGGGTCTGGCCCATGGGGACCCCGGTCAGGGCTTGCTGAGCCACGGAGGATCTGGAATCTCCGTCCCCTCCCCTCCCCAGTTCTGGCGGTGTGCCCTCTGAGGAGGGGGTTAGGTCTCCCGGGAGACGGAGCCCCTGGGGCTGGGCGGGCACAGAGGACACGCGCAGGGCTCCGTCCAGGGCCTTGGTGACCGGGAGCCACAGGGCGCCCGTTACTGAGTCAGGAAGAGCAGTTGGGCGTCTGCAGCCGGGCGCCCTGCCTCCTGCCTCAGCACAGCTTGCGGCGCCTCGGGCTGGGGCGGTCCTGGGCCACGCACAAGTGCTACCGGCGGGACCTGGAGACAGAACCGGACCCAGCCGCGCACTCTGCAGCCCGTGGGCAGCAGGGAGAGCGCGACCCCCGGCGTCCTGGGGGCCCTGTAGCAAATTGCCACAAAGTTGGTGGTTTAAAACTACAGAAGAGTGTTATCTCCCCGTGGTGGAGGCCAGACGCCCCAAATCGGGGCTGATTGGGCTGACGCCGGGCTGAGGTCACGGTGCTGGCAGGGCGGGTCCCTCTACAGGTTCCGGGTCACCCTCAGGCCCTGCCTCTTCCGGCTTCTGGTGACCTCAAGGGCCCCTGGGCCTGGGGCCACATCGCCCCTGCCTCTGCCTCAGTGGCCACACTGCCACCTCCTCTTTGGTCTGTGACCTCCATGTGCCTCGTCTTCTGAGTCCCTTGTGGTCACGCTGACAGCCCACCAGGATACCCCAGGGGGGTCTCCAGCCCCGAGATCCCGGACACAGCCACACTTGCCAAGTCTTGGCCACCGAGGATGACAGGCGCAGGCTCCAGGGACCAGAATGGGGACACTGTGGGGGTCCATGATCGACCCTCCCCTGCAGGGTGTACCCAGAAGGGGAGAAACCGAGGCACAGAGCAGCCCAGCATCATACCCTCACTTGGAATTAAAGTCCGAGCTCTCAGACCAACCTCCCTGCTGTGTTAGCTGTCCCCAGTGGACAGAGGCCCAGGACAGACAGGGCGGCTCCGCCCGCGACCATCCTGGTGTCTGCAGGGGAGCCCTGCCCGCTCCTGGCCCCCTGGCCCCTCCACCCAGCCCTCCCCGGCGGCGCCTGCGTGGGAGGGCCTGGCTGCATGACGGGGGCATCTGGCCGCAGGTCGAGGACCCTGCCTGTTCTCTCCGAGCGCAGTCTCCCCCCAGCACAGGCTTGGCAGCCCCCAGCCCCGGAGGCTGTAAATCCACACGCCCACGGGAACAGCTGGGTCCCAGGCACACGTCCTGTGGACTTAACCCTTTCCAGGCCTGCTGACCGCTCCCTGGGCCTGAACTCCAGCTCACGAACGTGCTGCTGGCCGGGGCCCCAGGACTGTGTGTGGAGGGTCCGCCGGAACCCGGGCTGGGTCTGGCCGGCCGGGTGAGCCCCTGCCCTGACTGGCAAGGACAGGGGCAGGAAGGAGACTGTCAGGGGTGCGTGTGCCTGCCTCCTCTTCGGTCCCTACTAGCACCCCAGAGTCCCCAGGGTCTCTGTTCCAAACCGAACTGCACCGGGCTCTGGGGTGCACTTCGGACCCACCCCCGCCCGGGGCCCGGCCGCCGAAAGGAGCTCGATGCGCTGGGTGCCCCCCTCGCCAGACTCCGTGGGTGGAGGGGCTGGGAGCTTGCTTGCCTTCAGGGGACCGTAAACTCCCTACAAGCGACCCGAAGGGCGCGGACGTTGTCAGGTGTCCACAGTGGTTCTCTCTCCCGCCCTCGCGGTCCTCACTGGATGCACCTGGGGAAGTTGTGACCGGCTGAGGGGCGTGAGAAGGAGCCGGGGTGGGGGGGTTGGTGAGGCCAGCCCTCGACCCTTCCGCCACAGCAGGCTCCCTGCGGGGCGGGCAGAAGGGTCCTTCGCTGCTGCCCTGGGTGACTGGGGGCGGCCGGGCCCTCTGCTCCTGCTCCGGCCACCGCATGCATTGTCAGTCGTCAGTCTCTAAGGACAGACGGCAGAGGCACGGGATGGGACGGAGGTTGTGAGGGTGGGAACGGGTGGGAACAGAGGTGTTCAGAGGCATTGCGCTGGCAGGTGTCCGGCTGCTGCAGCGGGAGGGAGATGAGGACTCCTCGGGGGGTGCCACTCCGTGAGCCCCCCGTTGGCCGGGCCCTGGCGGACCCTGGGGGCCCCTCCCCCAAGCTGCAGCAGAAGACAATAGTGCCCGGGAGACGCCTCCTGGGGACAGGACGGGCGGTGCCAGCCTGCCCAGCGGGACAAGGCGCCCTTGTGCCCCGGCCTCAGATCCTGCCCCACCCTCCCTGGCCTGGGGGTGGTCGGAAGTTCAGACCCGGGGGTGGGAGGGGGCCCTGGATGGGGCCTGGAGGTCTCTGGGAGCGTGGGGGGGGGGAGGAGCCGCGGAGCCGGGTGGGTGGTGCGGGGTGGGGTCCGATGGGAGCGGAAGGGGATAGAGGTGCTGAGGCCGCAGGTCTCTTCCCATTTGACCCGAACGCCCGTGGGAGGCAGACGCGGAAGGGCGGTGCTTCCATTTTATAGATGGGAAAACGGAGGTTCAAAGAGGCGCCGCCTCACCCGAGGCCGCCCAGGGAGGAGTGGGGGGCGGGGTGCGCGGCGCTCTGGGAACGGGGTTGGCGGGGGTGCGAGGAGTTTATTCAGGGCGCAGCGCACTCTGAGCAGCGGGGGTCCGCTCCGTTCCAGAGCCGCCCCCCGCCCATCGCCCGCGTGTTCCGTCCACTTCCACCGACGCCCCCACCCTCACCCCCCGGGCGGGCCTCTGGGGGCCCAGGCCCAGCCTGCGGCGCTCCAGGGGCGGAGGCGCGGGTCGGGGCCCACAGCCCGGCTCTCCTCGGCTTCTCCTTGAAATTCCACACACCCTGGGCGTTTGGCAGCAGCTCCGAGCGCTTCCTGCGAACAATTTGTCTTTCATGTGCGTTTGCATCAATCACCCCATTGTTCACCCGCCTCTCCCTGGACCGGGGGCTCCCAGTGCGCGGCGGGGCTCCGCGCGCCCCCTGGCGGCCGGCCCGCACCGCGCGCCGCGGGGCCCAGCTGAGCGGGGGACCAGCACCCCCTAACGTTCTCTTCCAGGGTGACGCCCGGACCCCGTCCTGGTCCCAGGGCCCCCGGGTCGGGTGGGAGAGCGGTCCTGGGAGGCGGTCAGGCTGGAAATAATTCTCGCTTAGAGTTTTGAAGGCAGGTTTTTTTTTTCCATTAAAAGATTCTTTTTTACAGCGGTTTTAGGCTTACAGAAAGATTTCACAGAAAGCGCCGTTTTCCGGAATGCTGTCCGCACTCGAAATCGTCACGCACGCGAGCAGCCGGCCGGTTGCGGTGAACGGGTGGGCGTTGATATGTCGCTGCTGTCTGCTACTTCCTGGGTGCCCGTGCAGCCGCGGACGGGGTGTGGCCCTCCTCGGTCCCTCCCCGGGCCTCTGGTCTCTTCGATGAGAGCCGGGCGCTGGCTGAGCCCTGTCCCCCTGGTTTCGGGGGGTGCGGGTTTATTTATTGACGATTTGATGACTTCTTAAACTCCCTGAAACTCCAGCCAGTACAGTACTGCACCCCTGGGAAGATCCTTGAATGAATCTTCTTATCTTTCCTGATCTAGTTTGAATGTTTTATTTTTATTTTTATTTTTGCAGGGGGTGGGGGCGTTCTGGAAGATTTCTTCAACTCTGTCCCGTGGCCC